CCCCCTGGCCGTCGCGCCCGTCCCTAGCCGGCCCCCTGGCCGTCGCGTCCGCCCCTAGCTGGCCCCCTGGCCGTCGCGTCCGTCCCTAGCCGGCCCCCTGGCCTTCGCGCTCGTCCCTAGCCGGCCCCCTGGCCGTCGCGTCCGTCCCTAGCCGGCCCCCTGGCCGTCGCGTCCGCCCCTAGCCGGCCCCCTGGCCGTCGCGCCCGTCGCTAGCCGGCCCCCTGGATGTCGCGCCCGCCCCTAGACGGCCCCCTGGCCGTCGCGTCCGCCCCTAGCCGGCCCCCTGGCCGTCGCGTCCGTCCCTAGCCGGCCCCCTGGCCGTCGCGTCCGCCTCTAGCCGGCCCCCTAGCCGTCGCGCCCGCCCCTAGCTGGCCCCCTGGCCCGGCCCCCTGGCCGTCGCGTCCGCCTCTAGCCGGCCCCCTGGCCGTCGCACCCGTCCCTAGCCGCCCCCCTCGCCGTTTTGGCCGCCCCTAGCTGCTGTCGCTGCCGTCTCCAGCCGCCTCACGGTCACTCCTGCCGTCGCGGCCGGCCCTAGGCGCCGTCGCGGCTGTCCCTGGCCGCCGTCGCGGCCGTGTCTCCTCGTCGTCGTGGCTGGCCCTACTCGCCGGCCCCCGTTGCCGCCGTTTGCTGGCCCCTCGGGTCTGCCGTCCGCCGGCCGGCTCCTCCATTCGCGTCGTCGCCAGCCCGCCGCCGCCTCGGATTCGGCCCGTTCCTCCCGATTAGCACTGCCCTGCGAACCCCCCCGGTACCGTACTAGGCCGCCTTGCACCTCACTGCACCGCACTGTACAGCACTGCACCGCACTGTACCGCACCGCACCGCACTGCACCGCACTGTACCGCAATGTACTGCACTACATTGCACCGCACCGCACTGCACCGCACTGCATCGCACTGTACTGCTCTCCACTGCCCTCTTTTGTCACTAATGGCGGAGGTGCTTCGCTTTGACGCTGAGGGCCAGCCGATTGAGTTTGATGTGTGGCTTGCTGACCTCCGTCGCCACCTCACTGGTCAGCGGCAGGATGGCCACTCTCTGTCTGTCCATCTTCACAGTACTCCCCCCTGCCCTGACCCCCCCGCTGCACTGTCTACTGATCCCTCGTCCGCTGAGCATGAGTCCGCTGCGGCCGCTGCCTTGCTCGCTCTGTCTGGCTGTCTCGTGACGCTGTCGCACAGCTTGCCATTAGCAATTCCCTCCCCCTGTCCGAGCGACCGCGCTTCAGGTCTATCACCACTGCCCAGGCTTTCCTAGATGATGTTGTCCAGCGCTATTCCACCCCGCCTGCTGCCTCGGTCGGTCGTTTGATCCTCCCCATGCTCTTCCCTGACCTTGCATCGTTCCCCACTGTCGCCGACCTGGCCGCTCACCTGCGCACAATAGACGAGACCTCGCGTGCTGCCTGCACTGCCACACAGCTTCTAGCCTACCAGCCGCCCCTCACCTCTACTCTCTACCTGCTAGCCACCCGCCTCCCTGACCGTCTTGCCACTGCCCGTGACCACTTCCTTAGCGTCCACCCTGCAGACCTCACCCTCACTGACTTTGTCGACACCCTGTCCGCTATAGAGGCCCGCCACCGCTCTATCGCTCAGACTAGCGGTACTGTGCCGGTCCCTAACTTTCAGGGTTGCGCCCTCGCTCAGTGCACCTTCTCTGACGGTTCTGTTGCTGTGGCTGAGACTGCAGCTGCAACACAGGTCCATCCTAGGAAGGGTCGCGGCCCCAAGGCTGGGCGTGGCGGAAGGGGGTGGGGGTGCAGGTGTAGGTGGTGGTGGAGCTGGGTCTCCTGGTGGTGGTGCGGACGAGGGGACCCTGCCAGGTGCAGCCGAGCAGCCGTCTCAGCAGCCGCCGGCGTTGCAGCCAGACTCGCGTCAGCCGCAGCAATCGCAGCAGCTGCAGCTGAGACGGGCGAGTGGTCTCCCGCCCGGGTGGCCTGGCGCTGGTGGTAGCGCTGGACGTGGTGGTGGTGCGCGCGGTGGGCTGCTGGGTGGTGGTTTGGGTGACACGCGTTCTCAGTACCTACTCCAAACTGGTCCTCGCCGTGGCTTCGTTTGCGGTAAGATCGGTCACACCTCCGTTCGCTGCTTCCGTCGCCTGGACGACCTGTTTCGTCAGCGCTTCGGCACGTCGCCGAGCTCCCAGACTGGCACAGCTTGCTTCGTCGTAGGGTTCAGATTTTTGATCTGGATATGGATGCGATTGTTACTGCTCTGCATGTGACGTATGCTGATGACTCTAGTAAGCTTTCGTCTTATTACCCCTTGTTGCCTAGTGTAGAGGTGCCTTGCTTAGCCTCCCTTGCTGCGTCAGGCGTAGGATCCCCTACTTTGTTTAGCCTTGGTGCTTCCGTCGCTGCTTCGCCTCCGGCCGCCACAGTCGCGCTCTCACCCTATGTTGTTTCGTTCCCACGCGTCTCGTCCTCCCCATCTCCCGTCGCCCCCTCCGTCCTCCCTTGTCGTTGCTCCCCCCCCTCTGTCTGACTACCTGCGTGCCGCTTGTCCTCTTGTTCCTCGAGTCCTTGCCTCTCTCGTTACCGACCCGTCTGTTCCGGTTTCGAGCCTTGACGCCCTTGTCGCTGCGATCGCTGACTTCGCCTCTACCCGCCGCCTTGACTACGCCACCGCTCTGGTCTCTGACCCTGCCTGTCCTCCGTCTGTCGGGGGTGCTCCTGCCCTCGGCAGTGACGTCCTGGAGGACCGCCAGTTCGAGCTTGCTTTCCTGTCCGAGGCTGCTCCCCATCTCTGCTCTATGCTTCTAGTCCCTGAGGGTGACCCCGACGCTTTCGACATCCCGACCCCTCGCACTTACGCTAAGGCGGTCTCGGGACCCTGGGCCTCTCAGTGGATAGCTGCCATGGAGCAGGAGATGGCATCTTGGAGATCCACCGGCACCTACGTCGACGCAGTTCCCCCACCTGGGGTGAGCGTAGTCGATGGCCGCTGGCTCGTCAAGGTGAAGCGCCCTCTTGGAGAGCCGCCTGTGTTCAAGGCGCGCTACGTGGCTAGAGGTTTCAGTCAGCGTGAGGGGGTGGACTTCTTCCAGACCTTCGCTCCGACCCCGAAGATGACTACTCTTCGGGTTCTGTTACACCTAGCTGCTCAGCGTGACTAGGAGCTTCACTCCCTCGACTTCTCCACTGCCTTCCTTCAGAGCAGCCTACACGAGCAGGTCTACTTGCGTCGCCCTCAGGGCTTTACTGGCACCTTCCCTCCTGGGACCCACTGGCTCCTGCGGCGCCCCGTCTACGGCCTGCGCCAGGCTCCCCGTGAGTGGCATGACATGCTGCGTGCTACGCTTGCTGACCTGCAGTTCTTTCCGTCCTCTGCAGACCCCTCGCTCTTCGTTCGTGCTGGCCAGACCCCGTTCTACATCCTTGTTTACGTAGACGACCTGGTCTTCGCCGCAGCAGACAGGGACGCACTGGCCTCCGTGAAGGCAGAGCTGCTAAAGAGACACACTTGCACTGACCTTGGAGAACTGCGTCACTACTTTGGCTTGTAGATCTCTAATGACAGAGCAGCGCGCACCATCACTTTGACTCAATCACACTTGGTGCGCCAGGTTCTTCAGAGGTTCAGCCTTTAGTTCTGCTCCGCACAGCCCACTCCTCTGCCTCTAGACCACAGACTCTCCGCTCCAGTTCCTGAAAAGTCAGCAGAGCCTAGTGGTCCTTACGCAGAGCTGGTGGGTTGCCTTGTGTACCTGATGACTTGCACTTGCTCAGATCTCGCATACCCTCTCAGCATCCTGGCTCGCTTTGTGGCTACAGGCAGACACCGACCTCAGCACTGGTCTGCCGCTAAGAGGGTTTTGCGTTATCTTGCAAGTACATCGGGCATGGGGTTAGTGCTAGGAGGACGCAGGCCAGTGGTCCTTACTGGACACACTGACGCTTCTTGGGCAGACGACGCCGAGACCCTCAGGTCCTCGGAGGGCTACTGCTTCAGCCTTGGTTCAGGTGCCGTCTTGTGGAGAGCTACCTGCTCCTCGTCTATTGCCCAGTCCAGCTGTGAGGCCGAGATCTACGCCGGTGCCATGGCGGCACAGGAGCTCCGCTGGCTGACCTTCTTGCTCACTGACTTAGGTGAGCGGCCTAGCTCTGCCCCGGTCCTGTACGGTGACAACAGGGCCATGATCCTCCTGTGTCAGGAGCCTCGACTTGAGGGCAGAGCGAAGCATATCCAGCTGCGGTACTTCCTCATGCGTGAGCTCCAGCAGTGCCGCCAGGCGCGCGTAGTACACTTGGCCTCAGGTGCCAACATAGCTGATATCTTTAGGAAGGCGCTTGCGCCTAAAGATCATCAGCGGCACTGTGTACCGGTCTCGTTCCTGTAGCCTCTCACTTGCTAGGGCCTTGACTTTGTACTGTCCTTTATATATATATTTTACCCTGACTGGCCTTGTGGCCTCTCCCAGTGGCTGGACTAGTAGTGCCGCCCTGGTCTTGCACTTGTCTTGTCTGTACTCCTTTGACTGGTTTTTAGACCCTTGTCTCAGAGGCTGGACTAGTAGTGCCGCCCTAAGCTGATTCTTTCCCTGTTAGGCACTGCCCTTATATAGTCTAGGGGGTGTGTCAAATATAACTTAGGTCATTACTGTAGACCATACTGGATTGTGCCTTAGAGCGTACAACACCCTAGTCTATATACCCTTGTACTCACATATTCTAGTTCAATTATTATTTCTGATAACAACACCCGTCCTTGTATCTCCCTCTCTTCTTTCCTATTTCTATTTTCTCTCACCAACTTTCCTAGCCTAAAACCTCTCGCCATATCCATGGCTTCTCCTCCTACCTAGATCCTAGCTTTAAGACAGTTGGTTCATTCTTGCCCTTTTTCTCCTTTGTCTTTCTTTTACATAGTTTCCAGTGTAGAATTGTCTCTATGGAGGCAAGCTCTCCCCAAGAACGCAGCGGAAAAACCAAACTCGATCTGAGAAGTGCAGGAGAGCAGGGTGCTCTTCAGCTCAGAGTTCAACCAAAAAGTTTCACTCCAAAAAGTGATTACAAACGAAAACAGAACAAGAAGGTATAAGCATGCAGAAATGAAAGGTGCAACTCGTGTAGCGCGTCGCGCGCGTTTTGTCCGAATTTTGGGTGGAATCGATTTTTGGTAACCGACACTGTCGGTGAAACCGACCCTCCGACATTCCGCCGAACACAACCTAAGTCGGGTTACACTTTTCTGGTTGAACCGAATGTTCTCACTGTTCTCTCTTCCCTGGTTCTTTTGTCCATTCGTTTTTCCTCCATCTTCCAGCCCTAATCTTTCCCGTATGTTCCACCGACACTTAAAACGTAGCCAGCTTAGATCTGTCCTATTATTCCGCCCAGAGCGCCGCCTTATGACCAACTTTTTGCATGTCGACGTCGGTGCATAGGCGAACCACTCGCACACCAATAAGCACCTGCAATATCAGCAACGAACACGCCCTTGTCTTTCTCCCGCTCCACCACCTTGCTCAGCCTAGCCACAGCCCCGTGCAGCTCCTTGTGCAGCGCTACCACCTCCTTCTCCGGACCTACGCTGCCGAGCCTCGACAATAGGTTCGACACAGCAGCTCGGCATCTTGGATTGCTGCTGAGACTATCATCGGAGAGATGCTAGGCTTGCTGACATCATCGCTGACGACCATGGCCACATCCGCACTCGTACCGATGGTTTCTTCCTTTTCCCCCCGCTCCGCCACCCCCCCTGCGTGTTCCGTGGACCTTTGCGCCTGCAGCTCCGCCTGTGCCTGCGCCAGAGCGTGCTGCACCTTATCCAACACTGCGAGCTCCTTAGCGCGTATGGCGTCGTGCCTCTTAACGAGGCGGGCGAGGGCGTCCTCGACTGTGCTGACGTCCATCATGACGTCAGGCTAGCGACGACGGACAACGGGCCACGGACGGGCGACGGGCGACAGGCGACAGTCGATAGGCGAAGCTGACTAGAGTTAGAGGAACAGGCGGTTGGGGATAGGTGACTACGATTGACGAAGCAGTGGCGGTTTGATTTAAAGCGCGAGCAGGCTGCTGCGGATGCCAGCCAGAGCATGTGCTGCCGCCAGCGCACCACACGAAGAGAATGCCGAGGATGAGCAAAAATGCCGCTTGCTGGACTACAATGCCTCGGTTCTAGAACGTGGAACTAGAGTGGCTACCCGAACAATCCGTTTTCACGAGGCGCTAACCATCGGTGTACCCTCTTCACGAGCTAGTAGCTTGGCTGTACGATTCAGGGCGCCCCATGTGTAGCAGCCGGGGCCACACGCCTGCAGTAGTTCCGCAGGAGCAAGCTTCCGCGCATGTCGAGTCGAGAACAGTCCTGCTGGCACGCGGACCGCGTGAGCGAGCTTGCGTCGCGTTTTTACGCTTGCCAGAATGATAATACCGAGCGTCAGAGCTACTGTAGATACTCGCCGCAGCGGCCACTATAGATTGGATATTCGAGTTGCGCATCAAGGTGTTCGCAGTGGTGGCGACTATAGCGGCGGGAGTCCCGACGATGTACGCCGACTATGGCGACAGGCGAACAGTGCTAGATGATGTGAGTCGTTCGCTCCACGTCGCTCTGTGTCGCTCCGTGTCTAGGAATCTAGGCCCTAGATGACGCGAGTCGTGCTCAACAATTTCTCTTGCGTGCTTCAACCTTCCAACAACCCCTTTTTATTAGTTTTACCACCACCATAACTGCGCACTGTGGTTAACGCGTTGTAGAAAGACAGACATGGACAATGCGAGTCGTGCTTAGAATGCCTTTCGGTAAGTAGTTCCGATAGATATTGTCGAGTTACACTGTAGTTAGCATCCGTAGAATGACGTCAGCAAATAGCGCTCGTCTGGATGGTTATGTCAGCAGGCCGTTTCAGTCACGCGAACAGTCGCGCTCTTTTCAGTAGCGGTTAGAGCGCATAGCGCAAATAGTTTTGAACAGGTACATTACCGAATCGGTACTTCTAGCAGGTACAGTGGCGGAAACAATTGTCCACATGTTTAGCATATTTTCACATTTTGACGAGCTGTACGCTATAAACATTAAGCCTTAATTCATGGTGGCCATACTGTCAAACATGTGTATCTCCTATGTTTGCATAGACTATATAGGGCCATCTCTTAGAGGGTACAACACTTAGGTATATTCACATCAGGGCTCCCGTTATCAGACCAAATCGGTCTGATGGTCTGAAAATCAGACCGGGTTTTTATGTTTCATCTGATTTTTTGACGAGCCAAATATATTCGTCTGATTGCTCAGACAAGTTATAAGAATTCGTCTGAAACATCAGACCAGGTGTACACATTCATATGATTCATCAGACCGACCGTTTTTTTCCGTCTGATACCGACAAACCCACCCTTCTAGCACCAGGGCCACTACTAGTCCACATGCCCACTGGGCCACTGCCTGCCACCTGGTCCCATGTGCACCGCAGCACGCGCATTCAATTCTACCCCGAGCGCGGCAGCAAAACAGTCCAGCGCACATAAACAGTATGAATTCTCAGACACGTGCTTGCATTTCGTCTGAATCGTAAGACAGGCAAAACAAATCCGTCTGACGGTCAGACGAAGCTCTAAGTCCCCGTCTGATTTTCAGACTGCCCTAAAAACTAGCAGGAGCCCTGATTCACCTGTACTCTCTCTCTACTGATCATTCAGTTCCCACTTTGATATGGTATCACGCGTAGGTTAGGATCCCCCACCTACCGCTTCCGCTCCTACCCTCACTAGGCCCCGCCGCGCCTCTCCTAGCCCCGTCGCGCCTCCTAGCCCAGTCGCGCCCCTCCTGGGCCCCGTCGCGCCTTCCAGCCCAGCCGCGCCCCTTCCTGGTCCCCGTCGCGCCTCCTAGCCCAGCCGCGCCCCTTCTGGGCCCTGTCGCGCCTCCTAGCCCAGCCGCGCCCCTCCTGGGCCCTATCGCGCCTCCTAGCCCAGTCACGCCCCTCCTGGGCCCTTCGTGCCTCCTAGCCCAGCCGCACCCCTCCTGGGCCCTATCGCGCCTCCTAGCCCAGTCGCGCCCCTCCTGGGCCCCGTCGCGCCTCCTAGCCCAGCCGCGCCCCTCCTGGGCCCTATCGCGCCTCCTAGCCCAGTCGCGCCCCTCCTGGGCCCCATCGCGCCTCCTGGGCCCCGTCGCGCCTCCTAGCCCAGTCACGCCCCTCCTGGGCCCTGCCGCGCCTCCATTGCCCAGTCGCGCCCCTCCTGGGCCCTGCCGCGCCTCCTAGCCTAGCCGCGCCCATCCTGGGCCCAGTCGCGTCCCCCATAGCCCCGTCGCGCCCCTTCTGGGCCCTGTCGCGCCCCTCCTGGGCCCCGTCACGCCCTTAGCCCCATCGCGCCCTGCCCGGCCCCGTCGCGCCCTGCATGGCCTCGTCGCGCCCTGCCTGGCCCCGCCGCGCCTGCCTGGCGCCCGTCCCAGCCGGCCCCGCGCCCGCCCTCACGACCTTCCCGCCCGTCCTAGCCGGCCCCGCGTCCGTCCCGTCGGCCTGGTGCCCGCTGCTACTGGCCCCCCCGCGCCTGTCCTGCCCCGAGCTGTGTGCGGCCTGCTCGTCGTCACTGCCTCAGTGGGTCGCCTGATCCTCCCGATGCTCTTTCCCGACCTTGCGTCTTTCCCCACTGTCTCTGACCTAGCTGCCCACCTGCGCTCGATAGATGAGACCTGGCGCGCTGCCTGCACTGACGCACAGCTTAGAGCCCACCAGCCGCCCATTACCTCTACCCTCTACCTGCTTGCCACCCGCCTCCCTGACCGCCTTGCCGCCGCCCGCGACCGCTTCCTTAGCATTCACCCCGGTGAGCTCACCCTCACCGACTTCGTAGACACCCTGACTGTAATCGAGACCCGCCACCGCTCCATCGCCCAGGCGAGCGGTACCGTACCGGTCCCTATCATTCAGGGTTGTGCCCCCGCTCAGTGTACCTTCTCCGACGGCTCTGTCGCTGTGGCTGAGACTGCTGCTGCAGCGCAGTTTCGTTCGGGGAAGGGCCGTCGCCCCAAGGCTGGGCGCGGCGGAGGAGGCGGGGGTGCCGGAGGGGGTGGGGGTGGAGTCGGGTCGTCTGGTGCTGGAGCGGACAAGGGGACCCTGCCCAGTCCAGTTGAGCCGCTGCCTCCGCAGTCGCAGCAGCAGCAGCAGCAGCCGCAGCAGTCGCAGCAGTCGCCGCAGCCGCAGCCTCCGCAGCAGCCGCCGCAGACAACGCAGGCGAGTGTCCTCCCGCCCGGGTGGCCTGGCGCTGGCGGTGGTCGGGCGCGTGGTGGGGTGCCGAGTGGTGGTTCGGGAGGCGTGCGTTGTCAGTACCAGATCCAGACCGGTCCTCGCCGCGCCTTCGTTTGCGGTAAGCTCGGTCATACCACTCCTCGCTGTTTTCGTCGCCTGGACGACCTGTTTCGTCAGCGTTTCGGCCCGTCGCCGGACCTCCCGGACTGGCACAGTTTGCTTAGGCGTAGTATTCAGATTTTTGACATGGACATGGATGCCATTGTTTCTGCTCTGCATGTGATGTATACTGATGACTCTAGTGCGCTTCCCGCTTATTACTCACTGTCGTCTAGTGTAGGTGTGCCTAGCTTCGCTTCCCCTGCTGCGTCAGGCGTAGGATCCCCTACTTTGTGTAGCCTTGGTGCTTCCGCCGTCGCCCTTTTGCCGGACGCCACTGCTTCGCTTTCCTTCACCTTTGACTCTGGCGCTTCCCGGTGCTTCTTCCGCGACGCTACTACACTGACGCCGCTTCCTGTTCCTGCTGCCGTTTCTCTTGCTGACCCCTCCGGCGGTCCGGTAGTCGCCCGCAGTTCCACCACCCTTCCTTGTCCGGCGATTCCTTCGGGCTCTCTTACAGGTCTGCATATCCCCTCGTTCTCCAGGAACCTAGTTGGTGTCGGCTGCCTCCAGGACCTTAGCGTCAGCACTACGTTCCCTAGGCACGAGCGGTATGCTGTCTGTACCGAGGCCGCCACCGGTGCCCCCTTGTCCACGTTCCCCCGGGACCCGGTGTCCGGCCAGTTCACCCTGGACACCGTGACCCCCCCGGCTGGGGCGCCCCCTCAGGTGGCTGCGTCTACCCAGGTTGCTGCTGCCTGCTCCTGTCGGTCCCTCACTCACCCGACTCTCCTTTGGCACCACCGCCTAGGTCACCCTGCGCTCCCGCGTTTGCGTCACATGTCCCAGCACGGTCTCGTCCTTGGTCTCCCTGGTTCTCTCTCTCCGCTTTTCCCTCCTCCCCAGCCCCACCTTGCACGCCTTGCGTCGAGGGTCGGCTTCACCGTGCCCCTCACTCCTCCTCGTTTCCCCCTACCGCCGCACCGCTGCAGACCCTGCACATGGACGTCTGGGGCCCCGCCCCCGTCCATGGGCCGCGTCGAGAGCGCTACTTCCTTGTGCTTGTCGACGACTTCACTCGCTACACCTCGGTCTTTCCCCTAGAGTGGAAGGCCGACGTGCCTGACGCCCTCATCCCCTGGCTTGTCTCTGCCCGTGTCCACCAAGGTCTCCCTGTCTTGCGTCTTCACTCCGACCGTGGTGGCGAGTTTGCCTCAGGTGTTCTTGGTCGTTTTTGCCGTGCGGTGGGCATCACCCAGACGTTCACCCTCCCGGACTCCCCACAGCAGAATGGGGTCGCTGAGTGCCGCATCGGCTTGGTCATGGAGGTGGCTCGCACCTCCATGATCCATGCCAGTGCACCCCATTTTCTGTGGCCGTTCGCTCTGCGCTACGCTTCTCACCAGCTTAACCTGTGGCCGCACCCCCAGCAGCCGCAGGTTTCGCCGACCCGTCTTTGGACTGGGTCTCCTGGTGACGCGTCTGCGTTCCACGTCTGGGGCTGCCTTGCTCACGTCCGTGCCTCCGGCACGGACAAGCTCACTGCCCGCACCCTTCCCTGCGTCTTCCTCGGTTTTCCCCTTGACGCGTCCGACTGGCACTTCTACCACCCGCCGTCTCACCGTTTCTTTCACTCTCGTGACGTCACCTTTGACGAGTCCGTTTCCTTCTACCGTCGCTTCCCTCACCGCGGTCCCCCGATTACCCCCCCCCTGTTCCTGGTTACTCCTTCCCCGGTAGTCCCTGCCCCTCCTCCTCCCCCTCCCCGTCCTGCCCCCTTTGGTGTGTCCCACGTCACCCCTCTTCCGTCGGTGGTCCCAGTTGAGGAGTCTTCTGACTCTGGTAGTCCTGCTGCGCAGTCCTTGCCGGCTGCCCCTCCCCAGGTGTCCCCTCCTTCACCGCCTCTGCCGCCGCCGTCGCCCCTGTTGTCGCAGCCGCTGTCACCTCAGTCGTCGTTGCCGCAGCAGTCGTTGTCGCTGCCGCCGCCGCCGCCGTCGCAGCACCCGTTCGTTGCCTCTGGGGGTGCTGGCGTTGGAGTGCGTACTCGTCTCGGTAGCCCTGGTGGTGGTACCGGTCCTCGGGAGGTTTCGGGCCCTGGGGGGTTCCCTCTGGGGGTGCTGGCGTGGAGGGTGCCGGTGGTAGCCGAGGAGCAGCTTGCGGTCCCGATGTCGGCGTGGTGCCGCCGCAGCAGCAGTCCCCGCCGGTGTCCGCCCTTCGCCTGCTCGGCCTTCCGTCCCCTGACCCTGCATCTGCTCCCCCCCGGCCGTCTCCTCCTCTTCCCGTCTACGGCCCTGTGTTCCCTCCGCCGGACTCGTCCCCGGCTTGTTTTCCCCCTCGTTCCCCCCCTGTGTCCCCTCCTTTGTCTCCTGACCCGACGCCTCCGTCTCACGTCTGGTCCCGCCGTCCCTCCCGCGCTCGTCCTGTCTCCCCTGTCCCGCGCTCTCACCCTGTGTTGCTCTGTTCTCACGCGTCTCGTCCTCCCCTTCTACCGTCACCTCCTCCATCCTCTCTTACCGTTGCACCTCCTCCTCTGTCCAACTACCTTCGTGCCGCTCGTCCTCTTGTTCCTCGTGTCCTCGCCTCTCTCTTTACCGACCCGTCTGTTCCGGTCTCGTGTCTTGACGCTCTTGTCGCTGCGGTCGCTGACTTTGCCTCTACCCGCCGCCTTGACTACGCCACCGCTCTGGTCTCTGACCCTGCCTGTCCTCCGTCTGTCGGGGGTGCTCCTGCCCTCGGCAGTGACGTCCTGGAGGACCGCCAGTTCGAGCTTGCTTTCCTGTCCGAGGCTGCTCCCCATCTCTGTTCCATGCTGCTAGTCCCTGAGGGTGACCCAGACGCTTTCGACACCCCGACCCCTCGCACTTACGCTGAGGCGACCTCGGGACCTTGGGCCTCGCAGTGGATAGGTGCCATGGAGCAGGAGATGGCATCTTGGAGATCCACCGGCACCTTTGTCGACGCAGTTCCCCCGCCTGGGGTGAACGTAGTCGATGGCCGCTGGCTCTTCAAGGTGAAGCGCCCTCCTGGAGAGCCGCCTGTGTTCAAGGCGCGCTATGTGGCTAGAGGCTTCAGTCAGCGTGAGGGGGTGGACTTCTTCCAGACCTTCGCTCCGACCCCGAAGATGACTACTCTTCGGGTTCTGTTACACCTAGCTGCTCAGCGTGACTACGAGCTTCACTCTCTCGACTTCTCCACTGGCTTCCTTCAGGGCAGCCTACACGAGCAGGTCTACTTGCGTCGCCCTCCGGGCTTTACTGGCACCTTCCCTCCTGGGACCCAGTGGCTCCTGCGGCGCCGCCCTGTCTACGGCCTGCGCCAGGCTCCCCGTGAGTGGCACGACACGCTGCGTGCTACCCTTGCTGACCTGCAGTTCTTTCCGTCTTCTGCAGACCCCTCACTCTTCGTTCGTGCTAGCCAGACTCCGTTCTACATCCTTGTTTACGTCGACAACCTGGTCTTTGCTACAGCAGACAGGGACGCATTGGCCTCAGTAAAGGCAGAGTTGCTGAAGAGACACACGGGCATTGACCTTGGAGAACTGCGCCGTTACCTTGGCCTGCAGATCTCCCGGGACAGAGCAGCGCGCACCATCACCCTGACTCAGTCACACTTGGTGCGCCAGGTCCTTCAGAGGTTCGGCCTTCAGTTCTCCTCTGCACAGCCCACCCCTCTGCCTGTAGACCACAGACTCTCTTCTCCAGTTCCTGAGGAGTCGGTAGAGCCCTGTGGCCCCTACGCTGAGCTGGTGGGTTGCCTCATGTACCTGATGACTTGCACTCGCCCAGATCTCGCATACCCACTCAGCATCCTGGCTCGCTTTGTGGCCACAGGCAGACACCGATCGCAGCACTGGTCTGCCGCTAAGAGGGTTTTGCGTTATCTTGCTAGTACATCAGGCATGGGGTTAGTGCTAGGAGGATGTGGGCCAGTGGTCCTTACTGGACACACAGACGCTTCTTGGGCAGACGACGCCGAGACACTCAGGTCTACCCAGGGCTACTGCTTCAGCCTTGGCTCAGGTGCCGTCTCGTGGAGAGCTACCCGCTCCTCGTCTGTTGCTCAGTCCAGCTGTGAGGCCGAGATCTACGCTGGTGCCATGGCGGCACAGGAGCTCCGCTGGCTGACCTTCTTGCTCACTGACTTAGGTGATCGGCCTAGTTCTGCCCCAGTCCTGTTCGCTGACAACAGGGCCATGATCCTCCTGTGTCAGGAGCCTCGACTCGAGGGAAGAGCGAAGCATATTCAGCTGCGGTACTTCCTCCTGCGCGAGCTACAGCAGCGACGCCAGGCTCGCGTAGTACACTTGGCCTCAGGTGCCAACACAGCTGATATCTTTACGAAGGCGCTTGCGCCTAAAGATCATCAGCGGCACTGTGTACAGCTCGGTCTAGTTCCTGTAGGCTCTCACTTGTTAGGGCCTTGACTTTGTACTGTCCTTTATATGTGTACTCAGACTGGACTTGTGTCCTCTCCCAGTGGTTGGACTAGTAGTGCCGCCCTGGTCTTGGTCTTGCCTTGTCTGTACTCCTTCTGACTGGTCTTTTAGACCCTTGCCTCAGAGGCTGGACTAGTAGTGCCGCCATGAGCTGCTTGTTCAGGACCTGCCCCTATGCAGTCTAGGGGGTGTGTCAAACATGTGTATCTCCTATGTTTGCATAGACTATATAGAGCCATCTCTTAGAGGGTACAATACTTAGGTATATTCACCTGTACTCTCTCTCTACTGATCATTCAGTTCCCACTTTGATACATACACGTAGAGAGGAGCAGTTAGAGCACTCACTCAAATCTCCTAAAACCAGAGTAGTATATTTCATGGTCCTTGAAGAAGACAAGTTTTAATAACAGCACATCCGGACAATTTGTATTGGGGACAGGCAGCAAACTAGTTACTAGCAAAACTAGTACCCAGTCAACCGACACTTGGCCTTGATCACCACCTACACCCTCCTAGGCATGTTATCTACGAGGTTAGTGCAAACCTTTACAGGGATCTTCTCGCACTCTTCCTGGACCCACGCTTTTGCATAAGGGGGTGAGCACTAGGAAAATCGCGAAGTATTTGAACGTATGCAAGAGTAGTGTGCACGATTTCATGTCGAATGTTATCTCTGAGACTAACCATGCTGAGGTGTGGCCAAAGATGTCATAAGTTGATTGGTCTCGTCTTATCATGGATCGTCTTCATCGTACCATTGTAGGTAAAAATTACGAGCAGAGTGGCAAAAAATTGCGTATCTGCCACGAAAATTAGGGTAACATAGCACGGTTGACAGTGCATCCTTGCACTATTAGAATCACGCTAGGATCCAAAGGTCTTTGAGCGGTGCAGCAGTCGAAGTAGTCGTGACTGGTGGGGAAAAATATCCGGGATCAGGTCTGGTGAGGAAGACGGTCACTCCAATGCTATAAACTCATGCTCTCCAAGCCATTCCAAGCCTAGGCGTGACACATGGCTTAGAATGGCTTAGAGAACATGAGTATGTTACGCTGGAGTGACCCTTTTCCTCACCAGATCTCAACCCGGATATTTTTCCCCACCAGTCACGACTACTTCGACTGCTGCACCGCTCAGAGACATACGGATCCTAGCATGATTCTAATAGTGCAAGGATGCACTGTCAACCGTGCTATATTACCCTAAGTTTCGTGGCAGATACGCAATCAAGATTGTTGTGCCGAAGTTTCTTAGTCACAAGTGCCATGCACATGCACCCGAACACCCGAAGCATATCCACCTTCGGCTTCCTTCCAATCCACTCCACATAGGGCACCCATTTGTCTTCTCCCACGTGAGTCAAGGCTCTGTTCTTGGCCACACAAGCATGCCGCACCGCATCCGGCCAAAAGTAATTGGGAAGACCGGCTTCAATGAGAAGTCCCCGAGCCGTCTCCGTGAGTGTCCGATTCGCACGCTCGGCGATGCCGTTCATTGCAGGAGAGTAGGGCATGGTAAGAGAGTGCCTTATGCCCTGCTTCTTCAGCCAAGTTGAGAAGTCCTTGCTCAGGAACTCCCCCCCACGGTCAGTGCGAATCGCCTTCACAAGTCGGTCTTGTTGCCGCTCCACCATCGGCAACCAATCGGTCTTCACCGTTTCAGCTACGTCACTCTTCTTGGGCAGCACATACACCCAAGTCATGCGAGTGTAGACGTCCACAATAGTGAGGAAGTACTGTGCTCCAGCAGCTCCAAGATTCAAGGGGCCCACCACATCCATCACCACCTCATCAAGTGGTGCCTTTGCCGTTGTCTCCGAGCTATGGAACGGGTAGCGGGTGAACTTGGCTTGCATGCATGTTGGACAGCCAAGCACCTCATTGGGCTCCTCCTTGACACGTATCCCACCGACCATCTCTTGCATAACTATGTGCTGCAAAATGGGCAATGCCACATGCCCCATTCGCCGATGCAAGGTCAGCCAATCACACTCTCCCGTAGCGGAAGTCGGGATGGAGAAAGGGGCACTCGCAATCGTGCCCCACAAGCTCTCTCCTTTCTCCTTTGCCGCTGCTGCTTTGCTTATCGTTTGCTTCTCCTCATCATTTCCACCACCTTTGGTTGCTGCACCACTCTCCTTGGTTTCACACGCCTTGCAGGTCCCTCCAAAATTGCACTCCTTCGAGTCACTCTTGGTGTCACTTTGTTTTCCGTGATCACCGCCACCAACCGCTTCACTCTTGGTGCTGACGCTTGCTGCCACTTACCTTTCCTTAGGCATGAGGACCACTGGGATTTGCCACATATCATTGTAGATGTCCCTGTCCTCATGAAGGTCCCAAAGCTTCTGCTCACCAAGCCTCGCGGTATAGGTTTTGGATCCCTTGGAAGATGTGTCCATGCCGGCCTTTTGCAAACGCCGCACGGAAATCAGGTTGGCTGCAAGGTTGGGCACCCAAAGCCCGTTCTTGAGGCCCACCATCTTCCCATCAGCACCCTTGAACATGGCCTTGCCCATGCCTTTCACCTCTGCTCGCTGCCCCAAAGCCGATGTAACATGCTTGACCGGCGACGGTTCGAGCTCGGTGAGCAAGTCCGCACGAGGTGTCATGCTATAGGTGGCGCCGCTATCGATCACCCAAAAGTCCAGAGAGTGAAGGGTGACCTTTCCCACAGTAGCTGGCTCCTCAAAGCCTTCCAAACCTCCTGCTGCAGCTGCCGCTTGCGTGGAGACAAAGAAGAATTGGCCCGGGTATCGATCTTCACTTGGGCCCGTCTCGTAGTCTCCACCTTTCATGCTTGCGGCTTCGGTTCCACGACCACCACGGCCTCCACAACCTCTGCCTCTTCCTCCCCTTGCTCCTCTGCCCTCTTGGCCTTGAGAAGGGGTCCATCCTTCAGGCAATCTGAAGCAATCTCTCCACATGTGGCCGGGCTTGTGGCAAAAGTGACATTCACCATCAAATCGACCGCGCCCACCCCCGTAGCCATTGTTGTTGTTGTTGCTGCCATATCCTCCATTACTACGGCCTCCATTGAATTTACTGCTGCCAAATCTTTCTCCTCGCCCTCTGCCCCTTCCACGGTCGTGCCCACGGCCCATGCTTGCAACTCCGGCACCATCGGGACCCGCCAATTCGCGACGGCGGAAATCTTCTTGTAAGATTTCCCGCTTCACATCTTCGAGTGAGAGACGGGGCAGATCTCGATTTAGGTTGATGATAAGCGAGGACCATGAGTCCGGAAGTAAGGCCAGCAGCTTGGTCTTCTTTTGAAGGTCACTGTAGTTCAGGTCAGCTCCTTCGAGCCGTGTCAACAAGTCGAAGAATTTCTGCACTCCTTCCTCCACCGGTTCGCCTTCATCAATTCGAAGTGCCGCCATTTGCCGCTCCAAAACCACAGCCACCGCCGCTGTTGCAGGAGCGTGTACACCCTTGGGAGCAGCCCATGCCTTTGGTCTCTTTGCTGGTTCACGCTGAAAAGGCTTGATGTGACCGATTTGGCTGCTCCCCAACGATTGCCCAAGTAGAAGGTAGCCTTGTGCGCTCTTCCGCACCCACGGGCTCTTCTCCGGGTCGTTCTCGGGGCGCTTCTCCGTTCCTTCCATCACCTCCAGCAGATCGTAGTGGTCAAAGATGTTCTCCATTTTGAAGGACCACTCAGCAAAGTTGTCACCGTTGAACTTGTCAAGGCCAAACACTCTAGGCTCATCCCTAGAGGGTCCAAGGCTAGGTTGCATCGGAGCAATGGGTGGATCTTGGTGTTGACCTTGTGCTTGGGCGTCTTCTCTGCCTCCAGCACCTCTGCCACCCCCTTTCTTAGCTCTAGGCATGGTCGAAATGGCTCCAAGGGGCTCTGATACCACTTGTTATAAACACAATAGGCTCAGATGTGCCTAAAATGAGAGAAATTGTGCACAGTCAGAATTCCGTCAGACAGCTTCAAATGTTGATGCCGATCTGCTATGTGCCTCAAATGGTGATCTGTAAATTGGATTTGGAGCGCGTTGTTGTCGCCTATCAGCAGCATTTGAATCATAAATTTACATGAAGATTTGACGATGCTATGGCGGTTTGACTGGCAGGAGGTACAGTAGCCACTATTGTCTTAGGAGTACAAACTTAGCAAGAAGAGTTTTAGATGGAGATGGTTCCCAGCCTCTACATACCCCAAGAGCCGAGGTCCAGGTTGGTGGTACACCACCACAAAGTCCCCAACCATGAAGAGTCTCGAAACAAACCCTCCAAGGAGCTACACCAAATGAAATGTAACACTACATGAAGTAGCGTTACTATTTTCACTATTTAATATTTATCCGTGTCCCTTGGGCTTGAAATCTTGAGCTCTTGTTCTTGGTTCTGGAAGATAAATTCTTCTTGAGTTGATGGGGGCTTTCTGCACACACCTGCAACGCGATGGACACTTCACACTCGACAAAATAGAAAAAACACATGCGACACGCAAACGACGACTTGACATGCGAGTTGTAAAAACTCGCTAATGTCTTGACCGACACAAACCACATTGTGATACACCATTCAAATACACACACAAGCACTAGATAGCAATGACATAGACTCACAATTCATTCCATGCCATGCATGCACACACACAAACAAGGACGACAAGCCGAGTGCAAGCCATAGGGTTGCATGAACAGTTAAGGCGCGGTATCGCTCCAAGTGGCTCGAGGAGCTCACCGGGCGGTGGGGCGCGAGGGGAGCCGCGAGCGCCCTGGCCTGATTCCGACCGAGCATGCGCGACATCGTGGAGTGGGTGTGGGAGGCATGGTCTGGCGTCGGCGCGCACACCATTCAACGGTACTGGTGGCGCACCGGTTGCCTCCCCGAGGAGTGGGTGGTGGACCTCGAGCACGTGCCCGCCCCCCCTCTCCCATGCGATGACCTCCCCGAGGACGAGCGCGAAGAGGGGACGGACAGCCCGTTCGGCGACCTTGACGACGATGAGACCCTCGACGACGTCGTCGAGGGCGTTGGCCTCCAAATCGCCGCCCTTGAGCTCGGGCCGAGCGCTATGTCGGCGGCCGACTTCGTTGCCATTGACGACGCACAGCCCACGTGCGCCGAGGCGGACGATGATCCGCTCGCCAACGAGCCGTCGTCGCCGGCACGGCGCGACGCGTGGAACTCGCCGCCTCTTGACGCACTCAGCGCCTTTGGCGATGCTGGTGACCGTGCGCGCCGCCGCGCGGCGAGGGCGGCATGCGAAATGTTGATTGGGTATGGGCAGGCCAAGTCGGTTTCGCCGCGCGACCTCCTCGCATTGTTTGACATCCGTAACCCGGTGGTCGTGAGCCGGCTTCAGCATGCGTCTCCACTCCCTGACCTCAATGCACCCGCGGCTAGCCCGCCCCGCTCCCCCCCTCGTGGCCGCATCCTACCTTGGTCGATTGCCGGGGGAGAGCGCCGATGGGAGCTGTACGCACAGGGCGTGGGGGCCTCGATGGACGGGCTCTTGGGCCCGGCGGAGTGGATGCGACGGCCATTCGGCAGTGAGTAGAGCGCGGCCACATGTGTTATTCGCGCTCGGTTCATCCGTGCATGCGGTGTTTGGAAGAGCTTGTTCAGATGGCTGTATGGTTGCCTCGGTGGTGCTGGGTGGTTGTCTCTCTCTTATGTTAGAGTTACAAGTGCTTGGGTGAGACATGGCGTGTCCCATGTCAATGTGCAGCTGCCTTTTGGTTGGTGAACTTTGTGAGGCTGAGGTGCGGCTGTTTGTCACTATGTAGTGCCAGTTCCATGCTGCAAATGTCATGTTCGTGAGCTGTTGGTTGAGCTAATGAAACAGCACATGGGGTTGTTTCTGTTCGTCACAGTGCAAAACAGCGTAACCGTGGTTACATATGCAATCTGAACTCTGCCACCCAAACCTTCCCCTATTGCGACAAAAAAGTTACCAACGTGCTCACCCTGAATCCCTCGCTTCTAGCAGCGAAAGCGGGCGAAATACCAATTCGACAGAAGCCCCCGCGGCTCGAAAAGGTGGCGTTCCTCTCTCGGGCTCAGGCTGTAGCTTCTTGCCAGTAGCGCCGGCCAGCTAGCCGCCAGCAGCGTCCGCCAGCGTCCCAAACAAGAGGGGTCCCGAAATTTCCCCTCCGTTGTTGGTTACCTCACACCTTCGCTCGACACTCACCCGTAGCCTCCCCTCGAAGCTCCCACCAACTCGACTACGTGCCCTATGAGGTCCCCCGTCTACACCGCTTACCTGGGTTGGGCGTGGCACGGGTGATGCGGATTGGCTGAGATGTCACGAAAATGCCTTCGCTGATTGGCGAGAAGTATCCAGTTGCAAGGAGACTTGGTACTTCAAATTGCACACCAATCACGTTACTGGATCCGGCTAACGTCTATATATGCCACTGACAATAGCTTACAGCGTGGGCTTCGTAACAAAATCAAGTCCAGAGATATTACGTATATTTACTGTGAGAATTAAAATTCTAAATAAATAGTTATGATTTTGTCATAACCAAAATTATTGTACGCCGTTAACAAAAAAAGAGGGGGAAACCGTGTCATTAGAAGTACGCATGGGTAGACATGAGTTTGATGCTAGAAGTGTATATGCATTATCTGAACATCAGTCCTTCTCTATTTATTTGGTTTCGGGCAGGTTGGTGCTGATGCATCTGGCTGAGCAGCTTTGTGGTGATGTGACAGGGATGTGCCGAGACAGCCTGGATTCGGATAAGACAAAAGTCGTCGACACAAGCTGGCACTGTCGTAACATTTTGTGCGCCAACCCCGGTTCAATTGTAGCCTCGTCATCAAATCAGCACGCGCCGAAGGCCACTGCTTTCGTCGCGTTGGTCGATATGCTGTCGCAACTGAAGGGGTCTCCCACATTTAAGGTTCCGTGACCCTCCTCAAATTTCATTTCTTCCTTGCTTGCTCTCATCTCTCGTTGCCTCGACTCTCGTTGATTTCATACATTAATACGCCGCCATGGATGCCTATGCGCCACAAAATTCTATGCCAGCGCACTACCGTGACCGTCCCTCGCTACCTGCATACTCCTTATATTTTTCCTTCCCCTCTTCCTGTTGTGTGTGCCTTTATCGCACAAAATTGTAATCTCAGCATAGACACTCGCTTCAGCAATGGCAATGCCGCTCGTGGCGGTTGGCTGCAGTCCGTCCCCCGCTTTTCGGCGCAGCACTTCCACCCACCCCCTTCGGCGCCGATTTAGGAGGTATGCTAGTAAGTATCGTAATTCTTATACTCGCAAATTTACCCGCGCCCAGCAGCCTCTGTCTATTTCGGCACGCTAACACTGACCTGTGCAACAAAGTCTCTTTTGACATTGTCGTGGCAAGGGCCTCACACTTCACTGTGCAGGGCTCCTTATTTCTGTGTAAGGGCGCGTACACATCATAGCTCCGTTGATGAGTATCAATTTCTTTTTTATTAACTTCTTTCGCTTGCCAATTCAGATGTCAGTGCTTGTCACTGCTAACTCTGATAAATTGACGTGCGTAAATGGTTAGAGGGTTACCCAGCGTATGCGAAAAGTTGTGTTAGGTACTGTATCTATTATCTAGGGACTGTCGATCCTATGATTTGTTCTGGTCTTGTATGTAATGCCTCATCCGCTATGAAGTAATAACATCGGTACAAAAGCACTCAACATTCGCACGTTGACCCAAGATTCTTGCGAGTAGCACATGGTGTGTTTCTCGGCAAAGTGTAGCATGTTTTTTTTGCTACACATCATCACACTCGTTACTATCACAATATATGCTTGTGTTTTTGTCAAACAAGTGTATGACAATTTTCACAAATAGTGTAGCATCATTTTATCAACACACTAGGCCGCATTCTCCTATCAAAACTAACACAGCGCATTTTGCTGCACAATTTTCACCAATCGGAACTTCGCGCAGCACGAGCCGTCTGTTAGATCATGGTATGGATTGGGTGGCACTTTGCAGCCCCATGTGCTGCTTCATGGTATGGATTGGGTGCCCCAGAAATTCATGCTATTATGCGCTTAGGGTTACCTCATGAGGGTAACCTCGAGGGTTCCCTGGGGTTCGTTGGAGGTTGAATTTTCGACCCCTCTTTTTTGAAACGAGCTCGCCGCCAGCAGCTGCGGCTAGCTACTTGCTAGCAGCACCGGCCAGCTAGCTGCTAGTAGTGTTCGCCAGCTCGCCGCCAGCAGCTGCTGCCAGCTAGCCGCCAGCAGCTGCTGCCAGCTAGTCGCCAAACAGCTGCCGCCGCTTCAGCCGCCACTACTGCTAAAACCACTGCTGCTGCCGCTGTCGACGCTACTGCTGCAACTGCCGCTGCAGCCACTATCACTCCCAAAACCACTGCAGCCACAGCCGTAATCATCGCAGAAAAGTTTTTGCAGGAAATTTGAGCACAGTAGCCCTTTCTAGGGAAAAGCTTCGGAAAAGCTCCATAGACATGTGATATTTATGGGACAGGAAAAAAACGACATTTTCCGCACATTGCAGGGACAAGAATATGACATCTGGGACTCCGACGCACATGCCATGCCCACTCGCGCCGCGGGTGCCAAAAAGCTGGAGGCGCATTTCGAAGATGGATTTGCAACTTGGCGTATCTTACACCCCAGATGGCGAAAGTGTAGAGACATACAGTGGCAGAAATAATTGTCCGTATGTTTTGCATTAATTTGGGTTTTTGGCTTTAAGACCACTATACATTAAGCATTAATGTTTAATGGTGGTACGGTTTGGGAGGGGCACACAGTGGATGTGTTGGCAACACAAAAATCTAGAATGGTACATTGGATCTAACTGATATCCCAGAAGATAAACGAAGGGTACATCCGGACAAAGATTTCCAAGTAGAGAGATTAAACTTCGAAGTTGCGTTTCTGGTTCATTGCCCAACGAACTTTGGCATTGATCACAACCCACACCCTCCTAGGCATGTTACCTTCGAGGTTAGTACAAACGTTGGCAGGGAACTACTTGCACTCTTCCTCGACCCACCATTTTGCATAAGGGAGTGAGCACTAGGAAAATCACGAAAAATTGGGCGTAGGCAACAGTATTGTGGACGATTTTGTATCTTTGAGATGAGCCATGATGAGGTGTGGCCAAAGATGCAATTAGCCAGTCGGCCCCATCTTATTACGGATCGTCTTCGTCGTACCATTGTAGGGTAAAATCACGAATAGAGCGGCCAAATCTAGCGTAGACACCACAAAACTGAGGGTAACGTTGCACAGTTGACTGTGCATCCTTGCACCATTAAAAACACACTAGGGTCCGTGGGTCTAGTTACGGTGCAGCAGTCGTAGAAGCCATACAGTCCTGGAAAAATATTTGGGGCCGGCTGCAATTCGTGGAGTCGCATGCTGAGTGGACAATTAGTGTTCGAAAGCATGTGATCAGGTCAAATGGGACCAACATCACCTGCTTCAGCTCCTATGGCCGCGTGTTTGCCTGGATTCGTGGAGGCACAACCTTGCAGCACCACCAAATCAAACACATGGTAAACCATGGGGACAAGGATCGGTGATGGTATGGGGATGTGTGACATGTGCGGAGGCGGGGTTCATATGCAAGATTGACGGACGCATGGAGAGGCCCCTATATGAGGGCATTTTGCATGACGAATCCGAATTGACCCTCCATTTCTATAGCATTTTCCTCTCTGAGGTCATTTCGGTGCAGACAATGACTCCAGGAATTTGTTATGCCTAGTGCAGGAATGACTTGGAGAACATGAGTATGTAGCCCTGGAGTGGCCTTCTTTCTCATCAAACCTCAACCTCTGGGCTTACCTGAAAAGGGAGCTGGCGAAGCATAAAAGGCCTTCCTCTGGAATGCTGGAGCTTTAAGACCTGGTACAGGAAGAATGGGAGAAGATCCATGCCGAGGTTTGCTCTAGCCTCTTCAACAACACAGCTAGGAGGGTGCAGGCGGTGATCAATGCCAAAGGTCGGTGGGCTAGAAACTAGAAACACACTTTTGAAGTTTGCTCTCTCTGCTTGGAACTATTTGTCCGGATGTACCCTTTGTAAATCATTTGGGATATGAAATAGATCTAATGTACTATTCTGGATATTTGTGCTGTGAACACATCCAGTATGTGCCCCTTCCACATTGTACCACCATTTAAACACTAAGGTTCAATGTATAGTGGTCTTAAAACCTAAAAACCCAAATTAATGCAAAACATATGGACAATTGTTTCCGCCACTGTATAACGGTGTAATATTGGAAAAATGGCAGACAGGCATAAAATAGTTCGTGTTTAGTCAGGCGACAATCAAAACTGGCCGTTGACCATATAAATGACCGCCAATGGCCATGTGACAACACCGGGCGAGGTTAATGCGGGTACCGTGCTAATGTCAAACAAAGTGCCCCATGTTAGTGGGTGTAGTCCAATCTTTGATCTATGGAGCAGCACGCTACTCACACAATAAATACTTGTTGCGCAGCAGCACACACAGGTTGGTGAATGACCGGCACACATGCACGACACACTTGATTGACTCCATCAACCACCCCATGCGTATCGGGGACGCGTCCGGGCTGTAGCTGTTGGCATGTGGTCACCGGACACACGCCGGCATCATCGTAATGTTTGACAAACACGTACGAATCCTCCTTGCCCTCATCCGTAATGCCCCTGAATATGCACAAGCAGCGTGCAAACCACTCGATGTCCTTGTTGCCCGGAGCACGCAGCGGGACATCAGAAAACCACCTCTGACAAACGTGCCTTTTGCAACTATTGCCCCGCCTTTTGTGCGCGGAATGGCAACGGCCGTGTGCACCTGCCGGACCCGGGGTGTGGGGTGGTGGGTATGGGCCGGGTCGCGGCAACAAAAATTTATAGCATATGAGACAGGGATGGTCGAGTGACCAAGACACTTGGTTGCAGCCTGGAGCGCACAACCCCTAACCATTCCACGTCTAGGGGCAGGGTTGAGACCCATGTGTGGTTCACCAGCAGGTGGTCTAGGTGGATGCCGACATCCTTGAGCAACAAGGGAAGGTTGTCCATGTCGTTTCCCAGGACTGCCCGATATGCCGACAGCAACGGGTCCTCCGCGTCCTCCGGCGCCATGGGCCGGTGCCGGCGGGTCAGCACGTGCGCTTTCTGGTGGACGGCCTGTCACACATTGGAGCAGGAGAGAGCGGTGCACGGGGTGGGTGTGGGTGGGGGGGCGGGCGAAAGGCATATAGTAAAAAACGATGCTTGTACCTTGGGAATAGTAGATAAGCTCACAACGGCGTGGTGAGGCATGATGATGGCGCCGAGTGGTGGGTGGGATGGATGGCGATGATGAGGAGGGGGTGGGGGTGGGGATGGAGCACAAGCGATGCTAGTGTCCGTACCTCCCGTAGAGCCGTCACGTACTGCCCCCCCCCCCCCCCCCCCCCCCTCACATCCGCCGCAATGTCGCGTGTGATCTCCCGCTCCACCGCCTCGTCAATGATCTGTCGCATAATGTCCTTCCAGTTCCCACTGCGTACTAGAGCCTTTACTGTGCCTTTGTGCATGTGTTCCCACAATTCTGTGGAGTACTCCCAGGGCATGCCGCGCATGGGAATCTCGTCTATGATGTGTTGAACCAAGTGTAGTTTGAGGATGTTCCACCTTGGCTTGTGCCCCGGGAGCCTGGCTTTAAAGGTGTCCGACATCCTGCGGTGTCAGACATAGGTAGTCGGGGCCAACGATAAAGAGCGAAATGCATAACATAGGTCATTGTGTGTCGGAGGCCGTGTTGAGGAGGGTGGAGCTTGGATTGTGGGGGGGGGGGGAGGGGTCGGGGCATGGAAGACATGCATGCTGGCAATCAGTCTCCAAGCTGCGCAATTTGTGAAACTCACTTCATGGAATGTGACCTTGCGATCGCCAAGGATGTGTCCTCGTGTCTCTGCACGCCCAACAGCGGCTTGTAGAAAGTAGCATACCAACGGAACGCCCTGACCTCGTTCTCCCACTTCTCGAATTCTTCGTGCTTGCGCCCCTCTCAGCGATATGCGATTAGGATTGGCATGCTCTGCATCATGTCGCGATGCTCGAAGGCAACATAGTTGGCGCCACTCTTGAAGAAAGACGAGCAGCTGGGGATCCGCTGCAGCATGCTGGGCGTCTCTTTCTTGGCCATCTTCTTCAGCCTTGAAAATGGCAATTGGAGGGCTTGTGAATTGCTCTCCAATTGCCATTTTGAGTGACTAGGATGCACTGCAAGGGTAACGCAGAGTGATGGCATAAGCCATGGGGTTGTGGGGATGGGTGGAGGGGGGACAGCATGAGTGCGCGAGGGTAGGGGGGGGGGGGGGGGGGGAGGGGGGCGGGGGGGGGTTTGGCAAGGCAGACGAGTCAACCAGTGCTCAGCTGCGACTAGACTGAGTGCGTGCGGGGCGGTGGATGGGTGGGGAGCAAGAGAGGTGTATATAGGCGCGTGGAAGTGAACTCACTACCAGCGGGTGTGTGGACCATCTGGGGTGCATGGCGTTAGACTTCTCAGGCGTGTCCTGCTCTAATATCTTGGTGACCACCTTCCGCTAATGCTCCACGGTCCGCTCAGTGACCCGGCTATCAATCTTTGCCATCTCGCACCCTTTAATGTAGCACACGGAACATACC